TTTTTTTAACATTTTTAGTGCCGACCCGAAAAGTTGAAATAATTTGAAAAAAATATACAAATAACTTGAAAAAAAAAAATATAGACATTCCATAAAGAGTAACACGAAATTTAATGTTCTTTGTCTTAGATTAGTGGTTTTATGAATGGGCAGCTTTTAGGAATCTCATTTGTGTTATATATACTATGAATGTTTATGAGAAATTTAAAGATGCATAGCTCGCAAAGATGTATCTTTTATATATATATATATATATATATAAAAGAAAAATATATATTATAAATAATTATAATAATATATTATATATAATATATTATTATTATTATTATTATATATTATATATATGATTATTTATAATATATAATATATTATTATAATTATTTATAATATATATTTTTCTTTTATATATAAATAAAATAAAAATATAATCTAGTTGTTTACCAAAGTGAAAATCTATACTTTTCTAAATAAATTTATCTATATTTTTAAATAAATAATTTATATTTTTCTAAATAATAAATCTATATTTTTCTAAATAAATTTATATTTTTAAATAATTTATATTTTTCTAAATAATAAATCTATATTTGTCTAAATAAATTTATATATATATATATATATATATAAAATAAAAATATAATCTAGTTGTTTACCAGAGTGAAAATCTATATTTTTCTAAATAAAAAATTTGAATTTAAAAAAAAGTGAGACCAGACAGAAAAATGCTTCCTCTGTTAATCTGCCAATCTATTTCCTCTCATTAATTATTACACAGAGTATCGTACTTTGGGCGTTATATTTCTTTTGCGTGTTACGCGCACTCTTTCGTCTTCAAATTACTTCAAACTCTATACAATTTACAAAACGTCAATGAAACTTAGCGAAAGTCAAATAATTTATTTAACTAAAAAGCATGTGACAGGGATTCGTTATTAACCGTTCTTCGTTCGTGTAATAAGAGTTCAGGTTCGAATAGATGAATTCAACCAGCAAGTGTTGAAAAATGACAAATTTCATTCAAATAAATGGAATTTACATTTTACTCACATTGAAAGTGGTATCATCCGTGCTCCCGAAGTCTGCCAGCCTGTCAAGTTTCGCGTTTGTTGACTCGTCGATACTCTCATCATCCGAACTGAGTTCAGAATATTTACGCTTTGAGTCGTGGTGTGTCGGACTGTCGAAAGAGTCTGATGTTCGTCGGCCCTATTCATCATCGTTCGACACGTTTATAAATAATAACGAAAAATTCACCGCCAATGGCTAATTGAAAAATAATTAGTAGTATAATCGTGTTATACAATTAGTACACAAGTATCTACCCAATCACACGATTAAAAATAAAACGACAATGGCCACAAAACGATCAAGAACAGTTACAAAAGAATTACCACGAAATGATCATACACATAATCAGACGACGCTCCAAACAACTTTTACTCGGATTAGTCGAACTTATTCAACAACAATTATCTAAAACTAGTGCAGCTCGTTCGACTAAATTATTTAGCCATGAAAAAAATTAAAAATCGTGCAACTTATTCGCATTAATTGTTAACACTATATTAATTATAATTATAGTTAATTATTAATTATTAACAAACGAAGTTCACTCGGATCATAATCATAATTATAATATAATATTAACATAAAAATATAAATAATACAATAGAATAATATTAATTATAAATAAATAATATAATGTAATATTAATATAATATTAATAAAATTGATTAATATTAAATTACAATTATAATATTATAATACTATATTAATTTGTATAATATTATATTATATCATAATTATAACGTAATATTAATACAAAAATATTAATAATATAATATAATAATATTAATTATAAATAAATAATATAATATAACATTAATAAAATTAATTAATATTAAATTATATTTATAATATTATAATATTATTATATTAATTTGTATATTATATTATATCATAATTATAATATAATAAGTGGATTCATAACTAGGTTGAAGCATTGTTTAACCGAAGAGTAGCACAGTTTATTTGGCTAATTATTTAGTCGTGGAATTAAAAGTCACACAGTTCAGTTTTATCCAACCATACCGTACACAATTACGCGTTAATTCACTCGAATAAGCAAATGATTTTGTCTCGAGTTATTTCTTAAACTCTGAAACTCAATGTAACTCTGAAAGGAGAAGAAAATTTGTGAAACGAATACGAATGTCGGTGTAAATGATGTTCGAGTTAAAATGATGTCAGGCCTTCCAGCAAACGATCTAATGAATCGATCTGCAAAGAATGTGCAATTTACTTACTGGTTCGAGATCCATGTGACTTATGCGAATTTTCGTCGGTGGCGGCGAATGTGACGACTTAGACGTGTCCAGACAAGATAAAGTCGACAGAGTCAATCTGATAGATCTGATTAAGGCCTTCTTGGCTTCGATCATCGTCCTGTCCTACATCCATCACCGAGACTGTTATCGTGCTAATTTTAATTATGTGTCTAAATACTAACCGAGTCTGACATTAATTCAAATCTAGCTACTTGTTAAATCCATGTAAAACACTCGACGAACGATCAGGTACACGATACATTAACATTGAGAACCGACAACGAGACAGAATTTCAAGAATATTTATAATCGTTGCCATCACGAGAATACATCACAAGAATCATTAAAATATAGGGTGACCACTGAAAAGTTGAAAAGTTTTGTGAAGTTGTGAAAAGAAGTCACAACTTTGTGTGTTCATTTTCAATCTTTATTAATATTATTTTTTTTTGTAGGTTATCACACAAAATACTGAAAAAAATCCATTAATTATGTTTCCAAATATAATTAAATGTTATAATAGTATAATTATATGTAATATAATATTAATATAATAATATATAATGTAATATAACATGATAAAATTAATATAATAATATTATAATATTATAATTATAATTTAATATTAATTTTATTAATATTATATTACATTATTTATTTATAATTAATAATATTATATTATATTATATTATATTTTTATATTAATATTATATTATAACTATGATATAATATAATATTATACAAATTAATATAGTAATATTATAATATTATAATTATAATTTAATATTAATCAATTTTATTAATATTACACTAATATTACATCATATTATTTATTTATATTANTCAATTTTATTAATATTACATTATATTATTTATTTATAATTAATATTATTATATTATATTATTAATATTTTTATATTAATATTATATTATAATTATGATATAATATAATATTATACAAATTAATATAATAATATTATAATATTATAATTATAATTTAATATTAATTAGTTTTATTAATATTATATTATAATTATGATATAATATATTATACAAATTAATATAATAATATTATAATAATAATTTAATATTAATTAATTATTAATGTTACATTATAATCACAATTATAATTTAATGTTAATCAATTATTAACATTATATTATATTATAATTATAATATTATATAAATTAATATAATAAAAATTTGAAAGAAACATGTGTTTGTAAAAGTTATTTTTGTTTTATATCATTTAGTTTTTCAGTGACCATCCCATAGAATGACATGCACGAATGTAGTACGTATATAAACATTGAGAGAAAATCGATATTTAAATTGACAATTAATAAAAGAAAAAAATGCAACGAAGTTGACGATAAATTTGTTTACCTTCGGGAACACTCTGCGCTTGGATTTCATTGCCCTGAGATTCATCGCTCTTAACCGCCTGCGAGTCCTTTGCACGAATTTCACCTGATTTTGGTTAATTTCTTTTTAAATAATTACGTAGTCTCTTCGGTATCGAATTGCGAAAAATGCAGGACTTGAAAGTATCGTAGAAACTCAAAGGGGTAGTTAATCGTTTTGTCCATCAGAAATTATTTTCTACATTTAATTTTCCATAGATATGAAATATTATTAAATTTTGTGTGTTTCAACTACTAAATCGATTTTATATTTATATCTAAATGAACGTACACTTCGCATACTTTCGCCAATTTCAATTTTAATGTGTACGTGTAAAAATCATTGCTAGTCAGAGTTAAACAAGAAATAGAATAGAAATATTTTCTTAGAGTGGAAAATATTTTTTGAATCGACGGATTCGTCAAAGCAGTTACAAGTTTTATAAAATTTAACGTAATAAAACTGTTTGAGACTTGAAAGACGTTATCACAACGTACCATTCCACTCGCTTGTATTTCTGGATATCCCAGAACATAAGCACCCATGTTGAGCCCAATTCTGATCATTCGGAGGATCACTAATCCCGGCAGGAAGAGAAGCCACGGCAGAGGTCTCACGAGTTCTAACTTCCCAAATATCTTACCACTCTCCTCTGTTTTATCATGCAAACGTTAGACATTAGCATCCACAAATAATCAATAACATAATAGCATCAATAACATAATAGCATCATCAATAGCATCATAAATAATTTTTGTACTGCTTAAAGTAATTCGAATAATATATACGCATAAAGTAATATAAAAAGTGAAATGTAACAAAAAGCAGTAAATAAAATAATTGTAATAACAAAGAATAATGTATATAAAATTATATATAACGCGTTAGTGCATAAAATAATAATCGTTATATTGCATAGCAACTTTCATTGTCTCCAAATAATTTTGTATTGCATAGCAAGTTTCATTGTCTCCAAATAATTTTGACAGCAGGAAGCATAGAATAATTGTTAAATCTAGAAATTTCAAGCCTAAAATCTAAATTTCAAAGTTTAAAGTTGCTACTTCTGTGTACGAATGTTACATAGTAACTTTTGTCAATCTTCAATAAACATTTGACAATTTTTAATTTGTCTTTCAATTTGTAAAATTAAACTTTTAATTTCTGTGACGTGTGACAGAGTAATTTGTAAAAGTAATTCGAACGTACCTATCGCGATCTCCTGACTCGGTAAGCTCCATTGTGCGGTCTTTTCGATGACCCATAGAAACGAGTCTATGAGTTTGAACAATTTCTGACCCACGGAAGTCTGTACCGTCGCGATAATCAGCGATTCTATCCATCCTGTATTTTCTTTGGGTGCTGCCTGAAAAAAAAGAAAAGAAATTACAAAGGGCTGGTCTTTTTATTTCCATCCTCGATTTCGCTTACAACTAATCATTTTCTACTCCAGTATTCGATACTCACACTGGCCGTACTGCTTTCATCCTCCATGATTAAATTCGATCTGGAATTGAAGAAAATACAATTGTTAGACGATATGGCGTACCAACGAAAATAGCCAACGATTATACCAATACTAAAAAATATAACAATCTAGTCAATTACTAAAGAAAATAGTAGATATATTCAGTTTAGTAGATATATTCAATTTAAGTAATGTAACAGATATATTTGAATTATAAGTACCTACTAATATTTATGCCGATTTAATCATTTAATAGTATAATATTTAATTATTTGACATTGTAGCGCAATTTACGTTTCGCTGGTTAAAAAGCAACTGTTGCCGCAAGACGCGCAACGATGAGGATAATCTGAGATTTCAAAGCCAAGCTGAATTAGTTCATTTATAATATATTAATTATAACATAATATATAATATACATATATTATACAATATTAATTGTAACATAATATATATTATATATAATATACATATATTATAAAATATTAATTGTAACATAATATATATGACATATAATATACATATATTATAATATATTAATTATAATATAATAACAATAATATAATAATAATTACTTTTATTTGTAAATCCGCGTAACAGCATTGGAAATCTAAGCAAATTTATTCGTTTCCATTGGAATGCCATTATGCATCGACAATTATGGCGTTGTTATCGTTAGATAATATTTTTACGGGCCAACGTTTTTCAATCAAAAGTCTCCGTTATTTCAACTTTGAAATCTGTCGTTCAAATGGCTTGATTAAACATTTGCCTCAAACAGCTGAATCAAACATTGACAATATTATTAAAAGCAAGGGACTTGAACAAAAAAAAAAAAAACATTGCTCGATCAAACAAATCCGCGATAGATATTTCGTCTTTCTCGCGTCGTAATACTCAGTATTCTGCAAAATCATTGAGAGCCACGATTTTCTAAAACTATTCTTCGGCAACGAACAATTAATTAGAGTGTTCGTTTGATAGCACAGTATTGTTTGTAATCGAAATACTTTTCATAAAACAATTGTTCATTTTTTCAAATTATTCCACGTGAATTGTGCGTGTAAATTCGCGCGTAAACATATTTAGTGATGAAATAACGAAGTATGTACGTTCGATAATAATAATAATAATAAAGCAATTGTCGTCGAACATTTAAAACGGAAGAACGTAGAATATGAAACATAAGCATAATTCTCTACGCGGAATATTTAACGAACGAAATAACAAAGTTTAATATAACAATAAAACAAGCCTGGATTAATCTTAGATCATTTTATTATCAATCAAAATTATTGTACTCTGTAGTTATAACATATATTACAACTTACAATTTACCGAAGGTAATAACGCTTAATAAAAAAATTAAAAATAGATGAAGAAATAAAAATATATGCATATGTGCATTGTAAATACGTGTAGATGTAACAAGCGTAATTCCTGACGAAATTCTCCACGAATTATCAACACCTAACTAGACGAAGTGGTACTAAAAAACATTAGCATGCAGTTAACGTGCAGTTGTTCAGTGAATGCTCGTTCGAGCATTATGAGCAGAGTTGCAGTGAAATAATAGAGCCATTACTTCCGCTGGGTTCAAGCTTTCGTAATAGAGGCACGGTCGCCCTCTGACACGAACCTAACTTTTTCAACTTCGTTCGCCGACCGGTTTCACGTGAATAAAATTCTGCTCTTCCATTGAGCAGTAACGAGACGGTATTAAATAAACAATAAGAAATGCAACGGTGATAATTCGCTATCGGCAAGGCATGACCCCTTACTCCTTACTATCGCTTGACGAGCACAGAAACACCCATGATCGCCGAGTGTCCCTGATGGAAAAGCGCTACGATCGTAAAAAAAAAAAAGAGAACTGTGACATTCCGCCACTGTCTGTACCAGTTACAGAACCGATATTTCTGTGAGTTTTATTCGCAAGAAGAAACTTTTATTCCGTCTTTTTTTTTTTTTTTTTTTTTTAGAAATAAGGGAATTTTTATTAGTAATTTTATTATTAATTTTTTTTTTTCTTTTGTTTTTGGAATGCAATTGAATGGAACGAAACTTTATCTCACAAGATTTTTGTGAGTAAGGAGAATTTTTTTAAGGGAGTTTCTCGTCTATTTTGATTGTAAATAAAGTTTAGTCAAATAAATTTTCAGAATTTCATTCTTTCTGTATAAATTTATGCGAAGGATAAATTGTCGTACGATTTGTGGATATTTGAGAAACAGATGAAAGCAATGAAGGGTTTGAAAGTGAAAGATAAATTCCAGATATCAATTTCACAGGTGATATTAAACATTTCCCTTATTTCTATTCCAATATGTTGCTACGTAATCGAGAAATTATCGTATTATGTTTTGGTAAAGCCTCGAAGGAAAATTATTACTTCAAAATGTCAATATTTAGTTTGATGAATCATCAATTTCACATTGAAAACTACGCGCATAAAATGATCTATGCAAAATAATCATATGCACAAAATAATCTATCGTAGATAAAAACATGTCTATTTATAAATAAAATATGAAACTATTTCCGATCTTCCTTATTCAGCATAAAATACCCTTTCATTGTTTATAATTTGAATGATTTGCGTCGTTAAAAATTTCCTCTTTATTGCCAATTCCATTCGTTCTGTGATTTTTCTAAAAATTTGAGGATCGTTTAAACAATTTTTTAAATTAACTTACTGTACATTTATTATTATTTCGTTCAAGAGTTGATATGAGTTGAAAATAATGAGTTCAATTATGAGAGAAATAAATTAGCATTACAGAATTTTTATTATTATTATTATCATCACTATTACTAGCATTACAGAGTTACTTTATAATAAATGCGTGTGTCGACCAATAAACAGCAGATCTCAAGAGATTCAATTAACTAGAAGTTACTAATTGCGATAACTAGATTTACTAGCGGCACGAGAATAGTATACCAATAAAGCACAATAGTACAACGGCACGCAGATAAAACAAGCTTTGACAAACTTAGATTTAGGGAAATGCGAAATCGCTGTTACAAATGTTATGAATGTCAAGTCGTTAACAAAATCCAGGAATAGAAAAGAAATTGCCTGAGAACGATTTGAAGGAAGTAAAAGAAAAACATCATGAAACTAGCCGATCTTTCAAGCTTTCTCTTACGACCGAATTGTCAAAAATAAAGCACCCGACAACGTGAAATAAATAGTAGAGTTTTAAAAATTGCAAAAAGGGAATAAGTCACGCGACGAAAGAAATTCGAATTTTATCGAGCCTCGTAAAATAGAAGAGCAAGGAATTTAAATGTCGAAAAACATTGTAACAAGAACCAAGCAATAATTTAGCGTGATATTCGAAATCCTTCGATTTCTTGAAATTTCGTCAAATTATTAGAATTCAAGTGGAGGCCAAAGTAATGAAAAATATTCAATAACTCCGACACGATTTGAATTGAGCCAATCTTTGAAATTTCCTTCAACAATTTAATATTTATTACAGTTTCCTTTGATTTCCTTCAACAATTTAATATTTATTACAGTTTCCATTCGCAGTGTAAAACTTGCGGGTTAAGGAATAATAACGATTAGAAACAGAACTGCGATTCGAATACAATGCTTGGGAATTCGCATTCGTTATTCAACTATTCGCACCGTTGAAGGTGATTCGCTTGTACTATTCGAATTTCACGAAGCCGATACACTATCACGGACGGTTGCGCGAAATTTTTCTCGCCGAGGCCGTAACACCAGCGAATAAACAATAAACGAAAGTGACGATAATTTCACTATCGGGGAGGCATGACCCGCCGTTATCAGCCAGCGAACGCTGAAACTCCCATAACGAACGTAAAATAAAAGTGATCAACAACGTCGCGAAAAATATATAACGCACGATACGCGTTGTTATACGTTGACATATATGTACGTATATATATACAGGGTGTTCAAAAAGGTTGGGGCCAAACTCAGACTACGTGTTACCGAGCTCAAATAGATGAAAAAAAAAGTTTGTATAAACTTATGTCCGAGAATGCTTTATTGAAAAGATATAAAAGCGTTCAAAGATTTATGGACAAAATTCGTCTTACAAATTCGTTGTACGGAATGGTACACGTGTTACAAATTCTCAATAAGATTATTGCCAAATAATCTTCACGATATGTCGCATGATGTCTCATTGGAAACACGTTATCAAACGTGGTTTCAACATGATGGTGCCCCGCCACACTTTGGACGAAATGTACGTGAATTTCTTAATAGACAATTCCCTCAACGTTGGATCGGTCGCGGTGGACCAGTCAGTTGGCCTCCTAGGTCACCTGATACTTTGGGAATGTATTCAAAATGCATTTACTATTATTTCCAATACAAATGGGATATTTGAAAGAGTTCGACAATCGCTAATTCGACGAATGGAAGCCTGCATTCTTGCAGAAGGAGGAATTTTTTCGAACATTTCTTACAACTGTCGCAATAAATCATAAATATCTTTAAAAGTTTGTATCTTTTCAATAAAACATTTTCGGACAAGTTTGTATGAACTTTTTTCATCTATTTGACCTCAGTTACACGTAGTCTAACTTTCTAACCTCTAAATTTGGTCCCAATCTTTTTGGACATTCTGTATATATAAAAGCACGTAATTGTTATACTTTATTGAACAAAAGAGAGAAACAAAAAATGAACTGTTTTAGAGGGAAGGAGACACAGAGCACGATATCTAGCTTGCATTTGTGATTATTCAATGATTTTTATTATTCGATTTTATTATTAGATAATGTGCAAAATATTGTCTATTATATATTGAATAGTGATTAATAATTATAAATTAACGATAGTAAACAGTTTATTATTCGATGGATAATAAATAAAATGGTATGTGTTATATATTGAATAATGTAATAATAATAATATGGATAATATTGAATGATAATATATTGAATAATAATAAATATATAAAATAATGTTTTCGTTAATATAGATTAATGAGGATTTTTAGTGACAAATATCATTCATTTTGGTGAATGATAGTCTTCGTTGATAAAACGATATGAACGTGAAAATTATTTATAACGCTAAAAACGGAATATTCTTTATCAATACGCAATGTGTTTCTTATAGATAAGAATTTTTATTAATGGACACATGCTGTTTTTTTTCCTTTTTTTTTTTTGACAAATTGCAATCTTTATTGATAAATATAGTTCTACCAAGAAGTATTAATATAAATAATTTAGTAATTAATAAAAACAGATTACAACTTTTCGATAGAAAATATTTCATTTTTTAATTCTAACGTTATAACTCTGGTGTTAATGCATAGTGTCTCGGGTGAAATTGAATATTTTCGTATGTCGCTGATACAATTCGTAATTAATAAGATAAAATAAAACGCGACGTTGCTAATTTTAATAAAGTAATTAGAAACGATCAACGACAACGTAAACATACACATAGATAAGTATAAACATAGTTCGATGCCAGATAAATTCGATTCTATTGCCATTATCATTATATGACACACACACACACACACACACACACACGCACACCTAATTTAAAATCTATTATAATTATTTCTACAAGCAATTAGTACTGGCAAAAAAAAAAGGAAAAATTGAAAACAAAACGTTTAACATCTAACGAATCACTATCAATATCTAACAAATTATCATCGACGTCTGTACTTGATTAGATAGTAAATTAATTACATTTAAGTATATCAAAATATAATAAATAATGAATTATTATATATGTCAATTTCTAACAAAAGCTACTCGATTTACGTGTTTAGAAAAATGTACAGTGATATTCATATTTATTCTACTTGCAAGTAACAGTTCTATGAAGCAACGTAAAATCAATTTTAATGTTATCATCACTTTTCAAACCAAAGTTTGGTCATTTTAAAAAACTTTTCTTGCAATTGATTAAACATATATATATGTGTGTGTGTGTGTGTGTACTAAAATCAAACACATTAAACACGGAAATTAACAACGTGACTCACCGAGACACGTCAACCAACCGAGACTGCTCACAACGAACTACATATTCGCAAGGAAGCTCGTTTTTCTATTGTTTGGGTCGTCGAGGGCAGAATAAATCGAACGGTTATACCAAATCTATCCGATCTCTTCGAATTTGAATCGTTCGGCACGAAGATTCTCAGTTCTTCAAATCCCCTAAACTGGTCCACCATTCATTTCTAACAAGTTCTACCAATTCGAAAGGATTATTTCCAAACTGATCCAAATTTCTCGTGGAGACAACTCGAGCCAGATAATCTCCGTTAACAAACAAAAATGCGTAATGTATCGAGCGAACGAATCCTTCCAGCGATTCAATCGAATGAAAAGTGCAAAGGAAGATCAAATCTAGCGGCATCGGTCAGGACATTTTTTTTTATTTTTAATATATACAGTCGACATTTCTCTGAGGCAGAGAATTTTGCAAATTTGCAAACTGCAGTCGAAAATCGCGACAATACAAAGGGACACGGATCGTTCGCTGTCTAATTCAATGTCTCTTTCAATTTTGAAATAAAAGACTTTACGTTACGCGCAGAGGTGTTCAAACAGCCTGATCGAGCGTCATCAAGTACCGATGTAAGCCTCTTAAACGCGGATCGAAAGGCGATTGACTCGCGACTGGCGCATGCCATCGAACCGGGATCGGGTCGAGAAGACCGCAGATATCGCAAAAATCGCGTTACGTAACCTTGTTTCTCTTCCTATCGCGAACAACCGCAAGAAAAACCCGCCACACCGAAGGATCTATTCCGAATCCACTACAATAGAACGAGCAAAAGGTCAAAATAATGAAGAAATAACATATATCCTCGTTGCTCTTGTCTCGACGTGCGTGCATTAAAGATTATTTTAATGTAGTCCATTTGCCTGACGTGAACGTGAACAGCTGAAAATCGCCTTATAGAAAAACAAGAACAAGAACAAGAACGCGTTTCTCCATTGAATCAGAATGAATGAAATCTCAAAATATTAAGAGATTATCTAGGATAGATCCTGGATGTATATAGCTCGGTATGGAGAGGTCAGAAATCGTCAGAAGCGTAAGTATAATTGTAATTATGACAAATACTTTTTCCTATCAATGAAAGTTGACTTACACTTCTGATGATTTCTGAATAATATAATATAATATATAAAATAATAATAACGTTATAATAACGTTAATTAAAAATTATATTATATTTATAAATATTATATTTATATTTATAAATATTATATTTATATTTATAAATATTAAATTATATTATATTTATATTTATAAAATTATATTTATATATAAATAATATAAAAATTATAACACAACGTTATAATATAAAATTATAATATAATTATAACGTAATCATTACAACTAAGTTGTCCCACTAGACTGAAGATCTTTGACAGTTCAGAAATTATCCACTCGAGACGATTCCCAACGAAAGACTATGCTAGATATGCGTAATACACGAAAGGACGTATTACAATACTAAAAACGCGGATCCTTAATTCCTCAATATCACGCCCGTCACGTGCAAAGTTCGGAAATCGGCGATCTCTGGTTTCACTCTCTCACCTGGTCGAACGATGGCGTCGATCGAACGCCGGACACCGGTCCGGTTCCTCTGGAGGAACTTCCTTTGTCTTTTTTCACGCCACCAGGCGATTCCGTAGCAGGCCGATTTCGCTGGTTAAAACGACGATAAATGTGTCGCGTGGTGCGCGCGAACGAAGTCTATGCAGACGATTCACTGGAACGACTGGCGATGGATAATCGTCGATCGGCGGAACCTTTGGCCGGCGTCGTATCTTCGTGGTTTCTTCGTGGTCACGCACGCTCAACCGCGCCGGATGATCGCTTCTTCATCGTGGATTTCTCCGACAGGGAACAAGACAACTTCGTTTCGTTCTTGATCCGAAATCCTATGATGCAACGCGAATGTACGGAGATGAAATTGTCATGTTTCAAGCGTAGGAGAGATCTGACCTCACATGTGAACTGTTTGATGGATTTTTTGTGTTTGGAAGGTGGTTCGATGGTATTGTAGGTGAGGTGGATTTATTTGAGACGTTGCGATGTTTCTTGTTGGACTTGTTGACGCCTGGTTGTACATCCATATAGCCTCGTCGTTTCAATGTCAATTCCAACGTAACGTAAAATAACATTTGCAGTGCTAATAAATTAATCGCAAACACGTTTGCGTTAATAACGATTGGGATAAAAATGGAATTTTATTGTGAAATCGAGCCTTGTTTAGACTGATTAAATTATTTGAATTGAAACGATAAAGAAATTCTTGAAATTTTAATTAAGCTTTATTCGGATCAATGAAATGATTGAAATTGAAGCCGTTCTACGTCGGGCATTTTAGATTAATATTAGTAGTGAAATTAAATCTTCTTCGGATTACAATTAAGCTACCTAAATGGTACATTGTTTAAATTTCGAATAAGTCAACCAATAAAGTATAGCAAGACATATATATATAACTACAGAGAAAAAATGTTAAATTTCATATCTCTGTAATGCTGTATTATATTATAATTATTATATCTAATACATTGCATAGCAGCATGTAAAAAGTTGTCTTTGATATTCCACAAATTGGAAATATATGGTTTATAAATTTTTATTATTTTATATTGTTTTTTTATGTTTCCTCTATATGTATATATATGCAGAAATATTTTATATTATTTTTCAAAGTTCATATTTTTTGATGAATTAGTATGAAAGTATATCAAAAATAGTATAAATATACATATATATATAAGAATAATCTCTGACATACTGATAACTTACTGAATGAACTTGTTTCAACAACTACTAATTATAAATATTAAACGTACATGAAGATTCCAACTTCTGATTGTAATAATTATAAACGAAAATAACTAAGAGAGAAAAATAATTAATGTATTTCCGTTTTATTTATTAGCATAACTGAAACAGTCGTTGCAATTGCAGTTCGGCTAGCAAAATTTGTACATATATAAATTACACATCGATTTATTTTTCCACAATGAGTGAATTAAGAAAAAGAACTCGTTTCTCGTCATTTTGTTCATACTTTCTTTACACGTTATAAAATACTCCTGGTACTCTCGAATTTCATATGGTATGCACATTGTTATTGCTCAAATCAGACTTATAAAAACAAAAGTTGACAAACGTTCAATCGAAATAGTAACAAAGGCAGCATAATTAACTGCAATAAATTAAAAACACTTAGATCTATATATTACAACAACAATTACGACAATGTTGAATTTGAAACATCGCGAATTGACCCAAATAAGTTCTCAATATGCGTGATGTGAAAATATTTTTAGAAAGGCATTTCACGGAGGGCGTTTGCCTCAAGAAAAAGCATGAAATCTTAATATTTGGAAATTTCAGTCGTCATGCTCAAAGTTTAAAATAAACAAAAAAAAAAAAAACCATGCAATGTTGAATCCTATTTAATATTTATTACTTCACCATTAAAATTTCAAAATTTTGAAGCACATTCTCGCGATAGTTCGTTGTGTACGCACACATAGAGCAATGAACGTAGCGCAAGTTAAAGTGCGTCATATATCTCTCGTCTTTTTTTCATTTTGATAGTCGTTAACGCGAGTTAACGATTATTATGTTAATCAGAACGATGATAACAATAATCGACGCGTACCTTCAGATTTTTATATCCGATTAACTCTGTTCAAAAGAAACATAAAATACGTCGAATTTACACAATTTCGTCGTTTCTGTGCGATGAATTTTGAATCCGATGACTTCGAAAAAGGACACACGTATCTCACCCAGCCATACCGTGCACGTAACAAATTATTCACATAATTTTTCCTCGACGTGCTTGATTCTTCCTTTCATTCATTATTCCTCACTCACTCTATTTCCGACCATACAATTTTACAAATTCCCCTCGTCAGCTGTTTTTTTCTTTTCTTTTTTTTTTTGCATTTTATTCGTTTCATTGTTTATCTCTCTTTTCAAAAGCTGAGCGTTCCTTCGTGCCTGCAACGTAACTGGTTTATCAATTATGTCGTACTGCTCGGAGATACACTTTGCATTTGCTCTCTAGCAGTTCGAATATTCACTCTGTAATCTCAAGTTTATCGCTGCTTTTTAAGGCCATTCTCGTTTTGAAAGACGGATCGTGGGGCTGCGAAGGCGATCGTCGTCGTACTCGCGTGAAATAAACATCTCTGCAAAACCAGGCGTCCGAAATCCAATTTCCAAATCGAACGACCGTTCGCATCCCCAGAATTTCAATTAGGTGAAAAAGAACAAGAAGTGAATTAAAATATCGTCGTTATAATTTTTCAGTCGTAATCGTATTCCTCGAGATATACATATTGATTTATATTTCGCTCGGTTCTTTTTTCGTTTTTTTTTTTTTTTTTTGCTTCTTTTTTTTAACATTAGATCGCAACCGCGTCTACGAATTGTACAGTTATACGACGAAAGTATAAACTACGATCTGCGGCTGAGTCGGATATTGTAAGAAAATAGAAAAAGAAAGCAAGAAACCGGAAGGTCTATGTAAAACTATGGGAAATTTAATTCAATGCATTTCAAGTGTCAGTTTCACATCTATGATCGATGAAAATTAAACGATTTCAATCGTTAACAAAGAATCGATTGTGCCACACGCTTTGCACAAGATAAATGGATGAAACAGGTTTGAAACAGTGTACGCTATATAGATTATGCGCTCATATAATCTACAGTTCTTTTTTCTTTTTTTCTTCTTTTTGGACAACTACAACAATGTACGAAAAAGACAAATCGACGAGACTTCATCTATTTATCAATAAAAACAGTAGTGCATTTACAAACAAAAACACTCACACTTATTGAACATAATTAACGTAAAATTACTGTATAACAAAGTGGATTCAGATAGTCGTCGAGTATCTGTATCCAAAAATATCTTTTGCTTTCTCTTTTGTTTCGTATTATAAGACGATGTCGATGTTCAAAGCTCTACCGTTAGTTTAATTACGATAAAGAACTATGACAATATATGAACTGCTAATTCTGTTTTCTGTGTTTTTTTTTCTTTTTCTCTCGTCCTTAATTATTATTACATCCGTAAAGTACAAGTTATTCAAGTGCATTTATTCAATGTACTTCTCTACCCTAATTATACGTGCGAATCTTTTAATGAAATTCTCTTTCGGTGAAAACGGTCCGTAACGAAAAAATGAAGAGGCGAAAATGCTGAAACAGCTATACAAAGTAGCTTATCAATTATGCGAAGGGTACTGATACTGGCTCACAAATATATAATAAACTGAAACGCACTTGGACAATTTGCTGCCATACTTTTTTTTTATAATGATTATACAAAAAGAGTGAAGTTAATATTCTTCTTCGTCGTCGGGCGCGAGACCGTCTCCCTCCAATTCTTCTGGCGGTGCAAATCCTTCCTATGTAATAAAAAAAAAAAAAAAAAAAAAAATAGCAACAACGTGATATAACGCAATTTCGTAACCTAATATTACTAGTCATGTGAAATCGTTGGAGTATGAAGCGTACCTCTGTTGCATAAAGAACTTCTAAGATTTTCTGTACTATTGGAGGAGGATCTCCGTTATCACAATCTTGGCACATAACTTCAATATCACGTAACTTTCCGAAATAGAAATCTCTTTCCTTCTCTAGTCCTTCCAATGACATTTTTAATTCCATTAACTGCAAGAAATCGTTAAAACGTATTAAATATTGTATATGATGTATTAATAATATTAAATAATAGTTATGACTTTCGTACCTGTGCACTAAGTTCTTCAACTTTCCCGGAATCGCCACGATTTCCCACTCCTGTTTTCGCTTGGGGACGATGGGCCGGAGCTTTATTAACTAAAGTCGAAATTTAATAAATCAATTTTTAAATCACTTGCTATTTTTGTTTATAATTATCTCTATAGATACTATATGACACTTATCGTATTTACATAGATATTACGAAACATAAAAGAATTTTACATACACGTATGTAGTAACAATAAGCAGTGTAATTATACTAAATATACGATAGAAGCATAATGATCTATACAATGAAACTGTACAATCAAAGAGAAAAAACTGAAAGCATGCATTGTTCACAACACTGGTGACCGACAAATGAATGAAGTGGTCTACGTGATTTCTCAAACAGTTAAACGAAAGATAGACAATCAAAATTATAAATCTTACTTTTATTTTTTTTTTATCTTATCTTATTTTTCCCAAAAATTACTATTCTTTAAACTTCCGACAAATATTAGAATCTTACTAAGTTTGTTAAATAAATACCCCTTTCCAAATAAACGAAACGAGTATAAAAAATATTGAAAACAAAAGAAAAGAAAAGATAATTACTAGGCTTGGTGTTATCTGCAGGTGCAGGAGGCGAAGGTCCCTCATTTGAAGCGAAATTTTTTTTTCTCACAGCTATTAGGACACAGTTATTAGGACACAAAAGCCCATTATTTTTCCATATATATGCAATTTACATCATGAAAATATTTATATATAAAAAGATAAATAAATATTCGAACGTGTACCATATTTTTCAATTAATTACCGATACTTCTTAATTGTTGTTTTCGAGCAAAGCAAAACCAAGTCATGTTGATTGCAAATTAGAAGGGAATCAATACGTTAATTCTCTGATTATTCTTAAAGATAAATTATTTTTGACAAGTTCTCGCGTTACTTTTGACAGTATAATTTCAAATATGTAAAAGAAAAAAAGTTCTGAAATAATGTACCAATACGAGCAGCCGGTTTAGTCGAATTTACATCACGTGGTGTAGTGCGTTTTGCATTAGTGCCATGCGGTGCATTATTTCCACCACTACCCATGGCTTCTCCTCCTCGCATAGCAAGTGCATCGTATGGCTCTGTTCTGGAGTAGTTTGCATCAAAAAATTTCTTGAACCATTGTAAGAATTCAAAATTGTCTTGGAACCTGCCTTTCACCAGTTTATCAATTGGAACAATCTGCAAATGATTGTAAAAAGCATGTGGAACAAAATAAAAACAAAATAAATTAACATAAAAAATATTGACCCAGTAAGAAATTTCGACGATAATAATTTTTTAATAAAAACCTAAAACACGAACTGAAAATATTAAAATAGAAAAAAATATAATAAAATAGATAAAGAAAAAAGATATAAGAATTATTGAAACTTTATTTCAAAATTACAAATTACGTCAATCATTTAAATTTTTGATTATCCGAATACAGGATAAACCATTTAATTATGTATGTATACATAAACTACATGTCTAACAATGTTTATGTTTTGGGATGCGTGTCCCAAATATAATGCTCTATTTTAATGTCTCATTTAATTGAACTGTTTTCACAAATTGAATAGGTTTAATTTTATCATTACTATTAAAAGAGTAGTGTCCAAATTAAATATCATTAACATATTTAAAAAAAAACAAAAATATGTCTATTTCATAATTGGAAAATTTACAATTGACAATATTACAAATAGTAAATCAATATTATTAAAATTTCAGAATAATTTAGATGATTAGAATCTCTCTTCTATCATTTCTATAGATAGAAGCTAATGATAAATTAGATCAAGCTGTATACATACAAATGAATCTTGCATTTTCAGAAAAAGCTCTTGAATTATATACCAGTTTCAAAATATCTACTGATTATTAGATCTTTATTTCTTTATGCACTACATTATATACAACATCTATATTTGAAAAGTATTTAATTTCTAATTAAACAACCTACAATCTAATTGACAAATTTGATTCTTTCGGACCAAATTTAAATCTAAAAAACAACTTAACTGGCAGATTCATCTCCCAATTAATAATCAACATTCTATTAAAAAAGATTTAATACTAAATAAAAATTGTAATTCCTATATCATATACATTGTACAACAACTCCCCAGTATAAAGATTAAAGAAAGTCCAGCCTGTTCTATTCTCCTAAGACAATCTGTTACCCCCTGCTTGAGTGTATTTATAGACTGTTAAAAATAACAGTCATGATACCATTCTACTACTATAGTAAATAACTGTTTTAGAAATTTTATTCATATGTTGATGAACATGAACAACATGCTACATATATTTAAAGCATGTGCAATATTTACTATTGCAGAACTAAATATAACAGGGAAAATAAATGAATATTTGCTTATAAAATGGATAAATGATACATAAAAAGATATTGTGCTATAAAATAATTTCAATTTGTGTAACTATACACTTGTATGTGATTGCAAAAGCAAGTGACGCTTTTTATTATACATGTACAAACATAAGTGCAAATATAATATAATCATAATCAATTTTGATGCAACACTTATTCGATAATTTTTCAAATAATATGGCTAAAAATGTATAACATGCAAAAAGCAACATTAATTTGATCATATTGATGTACCCTGTTGACGGGGGGCAATGTTACGTTGTTGTGTATGTTTTTGCTGCATTTGCATCTGTTTTGATTGGGGTGGTAAAGGTACCAACTGAGGATTTGACAAGTTATGGGTTCCATCAACACCAGAACCTAGTGGTACGCAACCACGAGCTTCATAAGCATCATATTCACGGCCATCATAATTTGCATCAAAGAACTTCTTGAACCATTGTAGAAATTCAAAATTGTCTTGAAAGCGGCCTTTTACCAATTTATCCACTGGTATTACCTGAACCATTTTCATAACAATTAAATTATAATTTTTTGCTTACTGCACTTTATACAACACTTTTCAATGAAGCAACATGATTCCGTGTACTGTGATGAAAGAATATCTTGTTTCATCACTTCAGCTTACCTTGACACTAGTATCTTGTTTCATTAATATCTACATTTTCTAAGGTTCCCTAATAAATGAGATCTTATAATTACAAATAATGCTCTTAGTTTTAACAGTAACTGTCAATCCCACGTTTCCTGATTAAAATTAAGGTCACACAAAATACTAAATTTTAAAACATCTCTCAATGGTCGAATCTTAAAAGAATCCTCAGAAACATTGAAAATCTATCTGCCTATAAATCTCAATGCATAAATTATTAACAAAATATAAATGTGCAGTTACTTACTTTGTCTACATTCATTTTTTTGAAACCACCCTGCAAAATTTTGAAATTCTGTATGTATTCATGTTCGAGGTTAGTCTTGAACTTGACCCTCTTCAATGGCACACTTCCAGGGAAGAGCATATCCATGAATTGGCAATAAACAGCTCCTGTACATAATTCTTCAATCTTGGTAAATGATGATTGCAGACAGTCATTTACCCATGCCAACATATCATGTCGACTAAGGTTTTCAGTTGTCACATTCGTCGCATAAACATTAACAGCCATACTGATACTCTTTCTTCACTTGGTTACTAAAACATAACGATTCAATATATAATGGGAGAAATCATTACAAGCGAATAAATTACGTACGTTATCAACATACTGACTGAATGCAAAATATATATAGATATATATAGTAACATAAAGAAACAATCAAGCTCTAAAGTCCAGTGCCAAACACAATGATCTCATACAACAAATTTATCAGCCGATCGAAAGCGGGCACTGATATCGTTTATACGACTGAACCCGAAGCAGACTTAAAAGGAATAACATTCCATTCACTTTTTTTGGCTCGAAACACTGACCGTCGACATATTCGGGGTTCTTTCTTCGACATGCCACGATTTCGTTATACATACGCATATTCTCGCAGAACGTGATATGTACCAACAACCGATTCACACCGTAGAGATACAATGAAATTTATACATCTGCCCGCTTTTTCTGCCAACGAGGCGCTAGAATAGTACAATAACTTACCGAGTATCACGGAAACACCGTAACAGCAATCGGGAGTGGTTCTCCGCACGTAGATGACAAATGTGTACTAGATCGTTCAAATGCGCACACAACGGAAACTTCTAACGGTTCCTTCGGCAACGATTGGACGATGCACGTGCACCACGCCAGATCACATCCGAAAAATGCACGGCGATTATTACGGCGATTGTTCTTTTGCGTTTTTTCTCGGGCACATTTATTTTTACCGCGTATCTGATCCAGCTACTTCGTCGACTCGACCGCGTAGCAACAAAAATTTCACGTGTCTGTCACAGTGGAATTAACAAACGAACACAACCGTATTCTAGAGAGATTTCAGCCGCCGGCAGACGAGTTCGTTGCACCGAGATACATTCAAAATCAAAGAATTCGTGATGTCCGTTAACAGAGAATAGATAAAACGTTTAGTCCTGACTCACAACGTGTGTGCCATTTCGCAAAGCCGATCTTTTCCATTCGCCAATCACAGCGGCCTTCTTGGACAAAAGCGTTAGGCGCGTATTATCGTGAATTTTGCTATCGTTCGATCACGCGAGATTGGTACTTTTATTTTTACATTTCTCGAGAACACTTAAAGTAACGTAAATAATGCGATTAAAATATACGAATATATATTTCATGAGATATAAATGAAAATTGGCTTAGTGAAAATGTATGATTATTTCTTCGTGTAATAAATATTTGAGTACAGTACAATACAAATAAAGTTAGCTTCAGTTTTTCCATTTAACCGCTGGCATTCGTAGCATGCCTTCTGCGTAGAAATATTCTTCGGATTGAGGTTGCAATTTCATTTTGTACTCTGTCAGGGCTATACGATCTGTTTGTTGTACAAGTATCTACGGGAAGAAGTACGAGATTAATATTCACAATGGCCACGCTCGAATGTTCGTGCACTTACGTCAATCGCCATTCTGAAGCAGTGCATATTTTTCGATAGTTCCAGTCGCCTCTCTATGTTGTCGACGTATTTTAAGTATTTTTCGAGAACCTCGGGAGGCGCACTATTTTTATACAATATCTTTAGTACATCTTCAATCGGAAGATAAATTTGCAACTTTTTGCTCCCAAGCCATCCCTAGCATTTACAAATTAACAATAGTTTTTATTAACTGATGTTGTTGGTTTTTATTAAATTGCAAAATCTTAATATGAAACGTGCCTTTGTTAGAAGTAATCTGTCAATATCGCCCCATTCTTTAATTGCCGCTCTAACTTCTAACGCAACTTTTTGATACTGCCTAGGAGATACGTCATATTGTTGAGATAAATTTGTAGGAGACATTAATTTTCCTTCCGGCAAGTCCCAGTGACCTTTGCATGCGTGCCTTAGACAGTCAAGAACTGATGAGTTCAGTTCAATTTCTTCATTTCCATCTACTACTTTTGCTATTGTTTGCCATTCTGATAATGCATTATCAAATCTCTAATTAACAATTATATCAAAACCTTTGAAATCATTCTAAAAAGATAGTTACCAAGTAACTTTATATAGGATTGAACAAATGGAGCTTCTTTACAATCAGCTAAAGCTGAAAATTGTGTTTTATAACAGTTGCGAAGCTTGTTTAATAATCTGTCAGGATCTCTGGTATTCTTTATGATAATGTGTAAAGTTTTCATCTAAAATATGACATAGTGTGATTTCCATACAGGATTAAAAATTTTACTTATGTTAACTTACAGCTGAATCCGTTGATTGTCCTAGCATCCTGTAAAAATGACAAATTAATTAGAAAAATAAAAAAGAAAAATATACACATGGTAATACATACGTTAAAATGTCTGTAATCTCATTTATCTGTAATCTTATAGAAAGATATCTTATATAAACATTGACAGCATCTAGCCTTTCTGCCAATATCTTCTGAACTAAACTCCTTTTAAGAGTTTTTGTGAGAAATAGGATAATCTAAAACATTTTTTTTAATTTAGAATATGTAAATACAAAGGTTTATGTTTTACAAGGTACCATGAAAATTGTAAAGATAAAAAATTACTATTAAAATCGCATTTCCATCTCCACTTATTATTGCTGCATCTAATAAGGCAGTTTTACTGGCAAGTGATTTATACTGTTCTAAAGAATATGGTTGACCAAGTAGAATTTTTCTAAGAGTAATATCTGGCTGTACACCTGACGTTTCTGGATGAAGGTTTTTCAGTTTATCCATTGCCAAAACTATGAAACATCAGACAGTTATCATACAATGGATATCTGTATTTTGTTATTATTAAATTATCGATTAATGGAAATAGTGAAAATTCAGGCTATTGTACTCGCTATTTTAATATTATTGTACTGTATTTGTACGTACTGCAATCAAGTGTTTTTTCTGAGATAATAGATAACATAGGCTTAAGTGGCTGATAATTAGCAGCAGATTTTAAAGATGCTTCCGCAGTTGACGTATTCGAGATACCAGCCAATAACTTATCGATATCGGTCTTTGATACTCCAAATTGATCCACCTGTCATTTGATATTATGAGTTACATAGTTAAATAGCTTAGACAAAAAGTTATCATTAATGTTACTGCCGTTAATTTAACCTCGTTGTTGTCGAAACGGAAACATAATTTCTCGCTACTGTTCCAAAAAGCTTCATCGTCTTTGGCAGAAGTCATAATTTCAATACTGTCTAACCAATATTATTATTTATGTATTTCTCAATTATTACATTGAAATATCAAATATTAGATCATAGATAACATATAACATAGTGGGTTTAACATCTTGTAGAATGTCATATTGTATAAGCTGATGTATCTCAAAATAATGATTTTCGACTATCTATAAAGATAAAATAGAAATCAGTTCCACTCTTAAAACTGCCTCGCAGAGATATCTTATCTGTAAATAAAATATAAGGTCACCGACATGAAATAAATATAATACATATCGTGTGCCATTGACCAACTAAAATAGACTAGACATCCAATGCTTTTTCATATTCCATGTTTTGGGTATGACTATTGACACTATTGACAATTGAATTATTTTCTATATTTCTAAAGATTGTTCGACAATTATTTAGCTCGTTTGTAACAATTAAATAAATCTAATTTCTTCTATAATCCTCGTCTGTGCTTTAGTCAATGATTCTGTCTATTCTAGTTAGTTAATGCATGTGCATTTCTCACGCTCTGAAATATTGACTAAGAAAAAATCGCCCTCTATCATTTGCTACAGTAACTATGAGAAATCTATCCCACTCAAAAACGATTACGAATCAATTTTATTAAATTAATGATAATAGAAATTAGTTTGAGAGATAATATCACTTAGATATGAAGAAGCATCATTACGTGTTGCTAAATTAAATTCAATAATAACGTGATACAAGAAAAGGAAAGGAAACAAATTTAATAAGATGCTTGGGGGTGAATAATGCAACTGCGATACAACATATGATCTATTTATTATTTACAACAACGTACCAATGTTACACAAAATGTACCACATCGTGTTTTTATTTAAATCACTTATCACACAATTTACAAAAGTCGCTCATTCGCTCGTCATTTAAGTTCAGCTCAATAAATGGACTGCATTTAGAACTCGTTCTCAACGTTTTTATTGTTATTTTTTTCTTTTCTTTTGTTTATGAGATTTCGTACTTTTTCGGACAAAACGCAAGGGAGAAATTGCAAGTATGATAAACTTCATGAAAATGAGTTCTTATAACGCTTATCTCGTGCTTCTAGAAATTCATTTTATCTATTCGTTCATGGTAATCGTACTCCTTTATTTTTTCATTTAATTTCTTATTTCAATCTCATTTCACGTGTATTTTCATGTTTTTTTTTTTTGTTTTTACTTATAATTAAATTTCTTTCCATCTTTATGATGAACCTAAATTACAAATTTTCAGCTGTAATTAACTATGTAAGTTAATGGATTAGAAAATTATTTGGACTTATAAAACTCCATTTTTGTTCAGTAACATTCTTGCAAATAACATGAATATCACATAGTTTTGCTACGTTGTTCCATCGTAATTCTGTTCTGTTATTTTTTAATCATATAGCATTTTGTACATAGAAACTTCTAAATATTATTACACACGTAAAACGAGTTGTTTAATTGTCATCATCAAAAGAAACAAAAGAAAAATAATCATCACCTCAGACACAAGCGTTCAAAGTTTCGAGATTCGACTTGTGAATTGCGCGCGTAATTTAAATATTCGACGTTCGGACAGTACTTACATATACTCTAGTACATCTCGAAAAGAAATTCGTTCGCTTAGCATTCGAATTTTCAATTCGTTAACATAAACATTCAACATTTAAAAAATTTCATAGATCTGTACATGTTTTTAACGAGCACGAAAGAAACATTAAACGTTAGGTCGTTCACATTATATTGTCGATTAGTCGAAGTATTCGTACGTTTACGTTTCAAAAGTTTCTCCGTTGTTTTACATGTGCATATTCATTATCTTTTTTCTTTTCTTTTTCACAACAAACAAAATATACTATATATTTTACTGTAACAACAACTATCCAATCATTCAGCATTAAAATCTCTCCCGATTTTAACACCACGCCTCGACATTCCCACTTCCCCTATAAAATATTTAAAATATCAGCAGCCATTCAGCCAAACAACGATAAAAAAAAATTCATCTGGAATAACAAATAAAAACAAAAAAACTCTTTTCTTTCTTTTTAAAGCGTCCTCGTTAATTTCTGGGTAACAACGAAGTTCGATAAAATCTCGAGCGAAATTTAATAGGATAATCGAATTAAAAGCAATCTCCGATTGGACTGGAGCGTAAAATCGTTAAAATTCACACGGACGCGAAATCTTCAGGAGGAATAAGAAAATCGTATCGCTAACTTTCTAACAGTACAGCCCGTGAACTCTTTTCGAATAAAATGTTTAAAAGTTCGTGGTTGCGACCGTGACGCAACATGGACATGTTCAGGGGTTCGTTCTCGGTTACTAAAATCTCGCCTGCGAGAAAGAAACGTAGTTTAAAACCCGAATGTAACGATCTTTGCTACTCGCGAACCTTCGATCCGTGTTATTTTAGAAAACGGGTCCGCGTGCTTTCCATCTATCCGATGTTTCCTTTCCGACATCTACGTTTTCATTCTGACATCAAATTTATCAAATTTGATTCGAGAAGTTTCGTTTTTCTTTTTCACCTCTGGTCTTCAAGATCTTAACTTTAAGAAGATTTGTAACAATTGATAAATTATTTACAAAATATTGATCTACTCGAATGATCGTACAGGTTGTCGCAATACAATTTCGTCAACTTTTAATTTAAATTCTCAGCATCAGAAGCGTGAAATTATTTATTTGAATGATCAAACACATGAGAAAGTAATTTTCTTTCATCGTTGGTCTCAATTTAATCCAATTTCGTCGTGATTAAAGAAAGATTCTATATATTATCTAGAATGTTTTATAGATGAAAAGCACGCATCTCTTGTGGTAGACACACAGATAACGAGCATGGACAGCCGATAAGATGGACGGATGGCTGTTGTGATGTTCCTCTCAATTTTTCTAAGTTAAGAACGAGTCTGGACGATTTATGCCTCCCCGAATTAGAATGCGAACCCTGCCTCACCATATATATATATTTTTTTTCTTTTGATTGCATCTTGTCAATCGTAAACACTGCGCATTGCACGGAGTTTATACCGAACATGAAAGTCGTGAATTATGTTTCGTTTGATGAAGTACTCGTTGTTCTTAATTGCAACAGATTCGATGAGAAATTAAATTAAATTTAAACCAATTACTCGGTTACTTGAGAAATCATAAAAAAAAAAATTAAAGAATCCAATAGTAACCAATAGTAAGTGTTGTAAAAAAGGATAATTTAAGAAAACGATCCCTCAATTTTCTCAACAATTATCGTGGATTTCTACGATCTTGTTAAATAACTATATTAAGCGAAGATATTAAAAAGTAATTTAAGAAACGCTTTCAATACTTCAATAAAGAAGTAAGATTATCAAGCAAATAGACAACGAGTATCACGGATGGGACGATGATGTTCAAATTAAATTACAATCAATCGGAGTGTGTATACGTGGAAATACATAAATGATATCTACTTATATACACGAATATAATCTGTACGCACCTTCGCCTGTGCAATGGACAATTCGTGTGTGCGCGTTATACGCATACTTCAAACATCTACGTAGGCTGCGTAGGTTGCGTAGATGCGCGCACGTAAAATACAGAGCGTTTTCTTCTCAAAATTTATAATTCCTCGAATCGAAGACGACGTTGAGCTCGACGTTACTGCTCTTCTACTGACATTGCGCGAATTTTCTGCTCTCTTATTACTCTACTCACATACACATTCGTTTATTATACGTATATATATATATATGCATATATGTATATCCATTTAAGATCTATGCAGAACGATCCATAAATCATATATACACTCCAAATACACCTTCTTCTTCGACGAAGAAAAAGAAATTAGCTTTCTGAGATGAAATTAAGTTCATTTAAACTTTGTTGCAATTAGTTCTCTATGACTAGATTTTTTCATCGTTCATTAAAAAAGAAATTACTTTTTTTTTTCATTGTTAATTGTGCGAAATCCTTTTAATTGAAAAAAATAAGTCTCGTGAGTGTTGAATATTCAATTTACATGGTTAAAATAATTCTCCGCCTCATTCACTCGCATTATCGGTATTATATATAATATCAATATAAATATTTCTCCGTTCTAATATTATAAATACTTCTTCTTTACGATATTTAAAACGATCATAATAAATGGACCATTCTGAATATCGTTTAGAACAAAACGGACACGGCCGCGTAGCACATTGACAGAGTTTCTCTACATTTATCGTTAGAAATACGTTTAAGAATCTTCAATTCGGGGTTTTATATACTTCACGTAAACCCTCTGTATAAATATATATAAAAGTAACTTCGTAACATACAATAAATCGTATCTTTGTTTGGCACATTTCGTCGTCACTATAGGATCCGTACAAATACACCTATTTAGGTACACATACGCCTTGTATACTTGTCACCTGATGTATACGCGTATATATGTATAAATATATATATATATATATATATATATATATATATATATTATATCATATATATCAACTTGCTTTAATCTCTAATAGTTATATATATATATATATATATATATATATATATATATATATTCTATATATATAGAATATACATAGAATACGTACAAACATTCCATCCGAGTAACGATAGTATGTACCATTTTTCTTTTCTCCATACGTGTCACTGCGTTTCTCGTGTATATATGTATATATATATATTTATATTATCTACATTTACTCTTTACTTTCCGTATTTATTCCATTGAGTGTCGTTTATCGATCCTACCTATTTCTAGAAAATTATAAGAGAAACGTAACAATCTGTTATCCTTCGATACAATATAATATATTACGGTTTTTTTTTGCATTTTCTTTTTTTTTTTTTGTCGTTAAAACGTCACGCGCTTCGCCGAACGAGGAATAGGCTTGGCAAGCGTGGGAGTTGCACTCTCTCGCGAGTTCCTTCAGTTTCACGATCGTTCGTTTGTCTTCGATCCGGTTAGTCGAGTTATCCTAATCAAGATTCGAGCGATTCAAATTCGAGCAAGCTGAAATTCTTTTTGTCAGAACAATTTTCGTAACTGTAAATTACAAATATTACATTATAATTACAAGGTGGTTTGGTAATTGACAAAAACTGAAATATTCCTTTTTTATCAAATTTTAAATTAAGAAATGGAACCTTTTACCTTTTATTAGATATCCCCTAGAAGCAAAATTGTTGAATTTTTATCGATAATTTAACCCTGATAATTGATAATTATGATTTAATTTAAATTCACTGCTCATGTTATTTGAATTCGACTAATTTTCGACGAGACAGATAATTTCCAGCGATTTCGTTTTCCTAAATTCAGACTTCACAGTCAGGTTACCGAATCGAATCGCTCGAATTGAGAATCCTCGACTTGTACAAAATCCAAATTCGAGTAACTTGACTAACCCGAACGAAGGATCATTTTTGACTTTTATCTCTCTCTCTCTCTCTCTCTCTCTCTCTCTCTCTCTCTCTCTCTCTCTCTCGTGGAATAATTCCTTTAAGAAGTTTCCTCCGGTAAAATAGCGTAAACGTGAGAAAGAGTCCCCAGAAGGAATTTGATGAAGTATGAACAGAAGTGTCATATAATTGCACGCGTGTTATCAATTTCGAAGTCCTGACGAAAGTTTCCTCTGTTTCTCAGAAAGATCATTCACAATTCGCGTGATCGAAAGCGCAACTCCGTGTGGACCCATTCAGAAAATCCGGCCCGCAGTCGGAATATATATTATATGTATATATATATATTTTTTTTTTACGGTTTTTTTCTCTCTCTCTCTCTCTCTCTCTCTCTCTCTCTAACCTCTTCATTTTTATTTAAGTATCGTTCGATAGGATTCTTCGTTTAACTCTCTCGCTTAATTTTTTTCTTCGTTTTTTTGGTTTTTCTCGTTTTTGTCTAAATAAATATATCCACGAACAAGGCACTGCTCGACAGGCGGAAGTCTTTTTTTTCTTTTTTTTTTTTGTTTCTTCTTCGTCGTTGTCGGATGTTCGGATAATAATAATACACCGTGTGGAAAATCTCGCGTCGATCTGTCGAGCTTCATCGAGCCGTTTCCTATCGCGAAACGTCGGGTAAAAAGTGGTCGGGATGCGTTTCTTTTTTTTTCTTTTTTTTTTTTATCTCTTTTTAGAATATTATCCGCGTGTGAAGTGTGAAGCACTGACGACTCTCGAGCTTCGAAGGTAACCCTCTTCCTCTCGAATATCCTCGGATCTTGGAGAGAACGGACGTTCCGAATACGTAGCTTTGTCGAGAATTCAAGATTCATCTCAAGAAATATTCATCGTTTCGTGTGTGGTTTTTTTTTCTTTTTTTTTTGGATTGCGTTTGCAGCGAAAGAAAGAAAGTGGAGTTGAATTGAAGTTCGTATGATTATCCCCAAGAGCAACTGCGACAGTTGGCTGTCATTTTCGCCCTGATAGAAATTGAGAACGAAGATAAGGGCGTGGCAGTAAACCAGGCCACGTTAACTCCTCTGACAATTGTTTCGCTTCATCAAATTCAAGATACATCATTGTACCATTCCGTTTGCAGTAAATTTTACCTGTATAATTTTTCACATAAAAAAAAAAATTGAAATTCTTTTCCGAAAAAATTTCATACGAATTTAAGAATGAATAATAAAACAAAAAAACAAAAAAAAAAAGTGGTATAAGAATGTGGAATAATGAAATGAAAAGGTCACTTCTTTTTTGACAGAGTTTCCTAAAATTTAGTAAGACCTTTAACGGCTTAATTTTGCTTTAATGCTGCAGGATATTTAAAAAGTAGTGAATGCTTGATTATCTAAACTAAAAAATATTTGAAAATAACCATAACTACTTTTAATACACCCTATATATGAACCGTTCAATACAAAAATGATATAAGTCAATTTTAACATTTGAGTTTGAAAGTTTGACCCTTCAGTGGCGCATATAAAACATTTCTTGTATATTTCTCTATTTCCCTCGTATTATCCGTAAATTAAAATTAATAATCCTCATTTTTGCACCGAACGGCTCGTATCTATTTCCTAATCAATAATCAAAATCAATCTCCACCGTTGTCAGAAGAGTTAAACGACGTACGACCAACGATTTGCCGTTACACTTGTCTCGAATTTCACTCAGAGTGAACGTCAGAAAACGTGGAACATCGTCAGAGAGCGTTTCGCCCACTGGCAGGTCGGCGTGCGTTATAAAGGGAAGCACTTGGTCCGTTTCTGGGCAACGGCGGATCGGCAGTCGACCTTAGAACCAAGGGTGAAACTCTCCGGCTTGACCGTGTCCTCGACAGAGATCTTCCCGAGCCTCTTTTTCACTCGGAAAGGCGTTGATCTCGGGGATATGATCTCGTAAAGATCGCTGGTCCTCCCTTGAATCTGAACCCTGTCCTTCGGGCTACCCTTCTGATCGATAGGTATAGCGATATCGATCTCGGCGCAGTGGTTCTGGCTGTTCATACTCTTCGGAACGTTCTTCTCCAAGTTGCTGCCGCGGCGATCCTTTTCGTTCGTTTCGTCTGACGGTGTGTTGAAAACGTCGGACGAATAGCTTTTCGAGTCGCACATCAACGCCAGATCCGACGAATAATCGATCGTTTCCTCGAGCTCCGAGGGCAAGTTCCTGGCAGAAGCTAAGGAAATGGCTCTCGCCTCTGGCATCTCGGGCCTCTCCTCGTCCGCGTAGTCCAACGACAGACACTTCTTCTCGAACAGGGCTGGACCAGATGCTTTCCTGTTGCTGGACTCTGCGCCTGGACTTTCTTTCTCCTTCATCTCCTCTTGCTTATCCTCCTCCTGCTTCGCACTATCCGACTGTCCTTCCTCCGTTCTCTCCAAGGAATTGATCACCTTCGACGGACGGCGAATGCTGTTCTCCCGTTCGACGGACAGACAGAACTCCTTGTCGGTTAACAGAATACGCTTGGGCTGTCTAGCTGGTTTCTTGTCCAGCTCGAGATCCTCCTTCTCCCACGACGGGGTCTTCAGCAAGCTCTTCACCTTTCTAAGCTCGGTCAACAAGTCCATCGTTTCCTGGGACGGTTCGTGGAAGATTCGCCTCTTTGGTCGTCTTATCGACGAATTGGTGTCCAATTCCTGGTCGCTTGGATGGTCTATCCCCTGTTGCTTCTTCAACACGGACCTAACCGTACCTCCGTGGACACGTACCGCCTCTTTTCTGCTCTCCGTTGTTGCGTCTGCGTCTATCTTGGTGGGAGTTGAGCTCACCGAGGCAGACTTCGGCGTCTCGTCTGCCTTCGGCGCAGCATCCTTGGAACTTTCGTCACCAGCGTCTGACGCGACATTATTCGCTCGCAGTCGTTCCTGCTGCCTTCCGATTATACTCTGAACGTTGCCTCTCGTGCGTTTCTTAAAATCCGCGTACGTCTCGGTGGGGATTTCGTGGTAGCGGAACTTATCCTGAAGCTGCTTGAATGTTTCTTTGGTGTACTCTTGGCCTATCTTGTGTGCCAGAGAATCCTCCGACGAAGCTTCTCTGGTTTTCTCAACGTGGTCTCTGCCTTGGTGATAGCCAATCACAGGGGTGATGGAACGATCCTTGGACAGAAGATTGTCCGACGAGATGCCTCTCCTCTCGAACTGCGCCTGTTTGCTCAGTTTCTCGCTCTGATCCTTGCCATTCCTGTCTAGCAGGTCCTCGTAAGTCTGTCTTCTGGTCTTCAGCGGGGAATAAATATTCTTCTCCGCGGAGTCAGCCTGCGAGTCGCTTTGATCCGGGAGTACGGACGAAATCGGACGTTTCACCGGCGAATTGGGAACGCTGTCCCGTGTCTGTTCAACGTTCTGAGAACTCTGGATCACCTTTCGATGCGTGGGCGTTCTCGGTGTCAAGAGATCCCTCTTGTGTTGCCATCTTCTCCTCGGCGAATTGTCCCAGATATTGGATTCCTTGTCGGAGCCAGCACCACTGGCATTCGTGAAAATGATCTCCTCGCTGGTTGTAACGCGACACTTGAGCAACTCGGCTCCGTTACTAGCTCGTCCCTTGGTTTCCAATTTAGGTGACTCTTCCGTCGCGGCGGTGTCCAGTGGCAAAGAGCTGGGCCCAGAATCTAGAACGTCGTCCAACGAAGCGCCCCTGAGAGGATCTCTGTGCTCCTTCGTTTGCACCGTCGACTCCAGATCCTCGGTTTCAAAGCTGTACATCTTCAACAGAGGACCCTTGCCGGACTTCCTACGCTGAACGTCAAACGACTGCTCCGCTCTCGTTGTCCTCTGGACAATCCTCTTCTCTTCCTGATTCCTCGTTTCATCGCTCCTGCTCGTCGCTTCCTCCGTCTCGTGCCTCTCGTTCCTCGTGCCCTTCCTCTCGTGTAAACGCGGAGTATCGAACGTAAATTTGTCCAACGTCTTCGACGATCCGATCTTGTCCAAGAAAGGCTTCTCCACCGCCTTGCTAGGGCCGATCTTCTCCAGATAGGGCTTGCCTATTATCTTGGGCGCGAGCTTCGCCAGGAACGGCTTGTCCTCCGTCTTCGAGATCCCGATCTTCTTCAAGAACGGCCTCTTCTTCTCCTTCACCTCCTTCTCGAACGATCGGTCGTTCAGCCTCTCGTTGCTGTAGCTCGACGAGTTGTCGCTGCTCTTTGATCTCGCTCGTTTGTTCCTCGGGTGCGGCGTCAACGGTGTCCTCGGCGTTCTCGGCGTGAGGGACGGACTGGGCTCCTGCTGGTTCGGGCAGGTCTCGTCCAGCAGCGCGATCGCGTCTCGCAGGTCCATGTACGCCTTCCTAGGCGCGGTGCTCGCTGGTCCAGGCCGCGGTATCTCGCTGTCGATGCTGCTGTTCCTCGTGGACGTCGCCTCCGGCTTCATTTCCGTGTCCATGTGCGAGTACGAGGGGTACGAGCTCCGATCGCCCATGGGCCCCGGCGAGGAGTCTATGGTGAGGTAATCCTCGAGGTACCAGGGCGTTACACCGAGATCTTCCGGCCTGATAGCGATACTGTGAGCCGGAAGCATCGTGTTCTTGCTGATGGCGCCTCTGTTGCCGCCAGAGCCAGTCGACTGTTGGTCAGTTTGCGTGGTGCTCGACGACGTGCCGGACACACTGGCGGCCATCTCGTTCGGTGTGCCAGTCACCGTCACCTGCCGACGATAACTGGTACACGTGGCGAAGTACGGTAACGCTGGACGCGCCGTCTCCACGATCACGCGACCCTGCGCGCATGGGACCATCGGCTCGCCATCCGCCGGGGCCTCCTCCGGTGTCAACGGCAGAGCCGCACCGCGGCCGAACTCGATGAACCACAGCTCGTCCCTCAACTCGCTTTCTCACTTTTTCTCGTTCATGTCCTTGTTCAGATAGTGGAGCACATAGTGCAGCACCAGGTCGTAGCAGTATTTGTACTCGGTCTGGAACAGGATTATCAACGTGATTTCGATCGATCGTTTCTTCTACGTGAAGTTTCTCTTTCTTCATTTTGTAAAAAGACAGTTTATCAATCGCGGCGAATTTTAGAGGGAGTTTTCTATAGGGAAAAATGTTATAAAATTTTCTTTGAATCTTGCATTAGGATCGCGATATGTAATAGGACGATAATTTTTCGTTTGCTCATATTTTGGAATATGCAGAGGGATAAAATTATTTTAGATAATATACAAACATAAATTCCAAGAAAGTATTCGTCAAAATTCCCAACTTTTGCAAAATTGCCTCCTGTGACGATTAGGATCACAATATGTAATGGGACGATAATTTTTCATTTGCTCATATTTTGGAATATGCAGAAGGATAAAATTGTTTTGGTTAATATACAAACATCAATCTCAAGAAAATATTCATCAAAATTCCCAACTTTTGCAAAATTGCCTCCTGTGACGATTAGGATCTCAATATGTAATGGGACGATAATTTTTCATTTGCTCATATTTTGGAATATGCAGAAGGATAAAATGATTTTAGGTAATACAAACATCAATTCCAAGAAAGTATTCATCAAAATTCCCAACTTTTGCAAAATTGCCTCCTGTGAAGTCACTATTAGAAAAAGGTAGAAGAAAGTACACAAATTTATAACTAAAAATATCACTAGAACTACAGAGGAATTCACAGCACGTTTGAAAGGGTGATTCAATTTAATTGAAATCCCCAACTTTTGCAAAATTGCCTCCTACGAGGTCACTATTAGAAAAAGTTAAAAGAAAGTACACAAATTTATAACTAAAAATATCATTAGAACTACAGAGGAATTCACAGTACGTTTGAAAGTGTGATTCAATTTAATTGATCAACCTTTTAAGATCACTGAAAAGTGACACGTAATTTCGACCGATAATTTTTTAACTAACTGCAATAAAGAGGGGACACGTAGAAAGTCGTAACTATGAACGACTCTCGTTCCATTTATAAACCACTCACCATGTTCTCGACAAGTTGTGGCCTGTGCCTGCGTACAGTTTTAACTGCCTGGAAAATGTCCACTTCCCCGTGCTGAATCACTTGTTCTATACACGCGTTTGCGGCGCAATATACACCACAACGGCTCCTACCATCTGGGGAGACCACAGCGACCGGCCCGTAGTCGGTTCGTTGCCTCCACCTCTCGACCATATTCATCAACTCGACCAGACTGTTCGTCGACGTCGGAACCTTGTGACCCATGGGCCAACAGGTCAGTTGGAACAACTGAACCGTCTTCGGTGGTGCTTTCACGCCTGCCATCAACTCGGTCAGTGACACGATCTTCTTGTTTATCCTAAAAATCTGCAGATATCGATTATTTTAGAGAATTTTGACGAATTCTCGAGATTCTTATCTCATCAAGAATATCTTTATTTAATTCAGAGGATTCTTAGTTTATTCTCATTGTCAGAGTACTGCTGAGAATCTATTCTCCGTGATTTATTTCACGGCTATGTCGTGAATTTTGAATTTAATTTAAGAGAAATTGAAAGGTAGAGCAACTTTTTACTCAGGTTTTTCTATATTATATCTGTAAATCATTGAATTGAGATTTTTGCGAGTGCAACGTGTCGACTACTGACTGTAATTCAATTGAAGGAAATAGGATTGTGATCGTGTTATCGGGTCTCTAAAATTGAGATATAATTGATTAATTGTCGTCCCAGGTTTCGATCGGTTTCTGACTGATTTCTAACTAATTGACTAGCTCCACTCGTGATAGTTCCCTCTGAATTGAAAATCCATTTCTTTCGAGAAAATCATCATATTATTGATGTTGCAACTTTATTCTGTAATTTGCAATTCATTGCAAATTTTCTGTTTCCTCGTAGATTCTCGTCTTGGACAAAGATACTCTTTCCTGAAAGTCAATATCTCGTTGCTCTCAAATTCCTCCTTCCCCTCTTCCTTTTCTCAATTCTCAAAGTCAATCGAGTCAATCTTACGCGCCTCCAGTTTTCAAGGAAAACGAAAATTTGCGAAACGAAAGAAATGAAATTTCGAAAATTAACAACAGCGATTCCCGATCTCTCTTTCAAAAAAAAAAAAAAAAAAAAACTTTCCAAGAAAACTGGGAGAAACGCCGCTGTTGCGAAGCTAAATTCCAAGAGCAAGCGATCGTGTTGCCGAGAAGAGGTGAGAAGGAACACGGAGGAAAAGAGCAGCGAGTTGCTTCTCACCCAGGTCTTAATGTTCGTATAATGATTGTGGCTGATGTGATCAATCGTGAAGACAGGGCCGTATTTCTTCGAGTGTTTCCCCTCGGGCCAGAAGCTGGGGAAGTTGGTGGAGCCCGGCGGTGGCACGCACAACACCACCACCGCCGCGCACTCGTAATCGTAAACCAGGGACCAAAACTCGCCGCATGTGTGTCGGAGGGGCCATTCCGTTACGATGTACTCCCTGGGCTTCGTGTAACCCTGTCGAGAACGCTCATTTAGGAAAGAGGCGAGCATCTACGCTGCGACTTGCTTCGCGTGAACAGAGAGGGTTGATGAAAGAAAGAGTGCTTCGCTATATACGTTGGGTTAATTAAGAAGTTTTATGTGGGAATTGGCGATTTCTTTACAAGACTAAAAGTAGGTAGCGAGTAACGGCAGGGTATAAAATTGATGGAAGAAAAGTCTTTTATGGTACGTCTAGCGATTTGGCGGTTCAAGGGTGGAGTTTGAATAGCGTGCACGTGCGTGTTTGGTGAGACGGAAATTTTCGGGAGGAAGGTTAATTAAGATTTTACGCAGCAGTTGGCAATTTCTTACGGTATTTCTAAAGGCACGTGGAAACAATAGGAGGATAAAGATTGATGAAAGAAAAGATCTTTCACTATATGTATAACGATCTATTGTTTCGACGAATAAAAGTTTTAGTAGGAAATTTCATTAAGTAGAGTTTATGTAGAAATTGGTAATTATTTATAGGTCTGAAAGAGGATTATAGAACGATAGAAATCGATGAAAGAAAAGATCTTTTGTTATCTGGAAAGAAAAGACTTTTGTCTAGTGATTTGGCGTTTCAAAGATGGAGTTTAATTAGCATATTTGATGAGATGGAAATTGTAGTAGAACGATTAATCAAAGAAATGTTATATAGGAGTTTTTGGTAATTTCTTACAAGTCTAAAGGTATACAGAGTAATAGGATATAGGCTGATGATAGGAAAAATGATTTACTTCAAGGATGGAATTTAAATCACATATATATGTGGAATAGAAATGTCAGCAAAAAAGTTAATTAAAGAGACTTTAGTAATTTCTTTCAAGTCTAAAGATACCTAGAATAATGGGAAGATGAGGATTAACGAAAGAAAGGATCTTCTACTATATAGTGATTTGATTGTAGATAGAATTTCAGACTCTTATTGGGACACAAGTTCTAATAGAAGGAATAATTAAGAAAGTTTTATGTAGAAATTGGTAATTTCTCACAAATTTGTAGGAATGTAGAATAATAAAAAGATAATAATTAATGAGTAGAATATGATAATTAATAATATATAATAATTTGATAGTAGAGAGTTTTACATGAGTTTTAGTGTACATTATACTATTATAAAAGTTGAGAAAAGAATAATTGAGGGGACAAACTTTTTCTCATAGGTAATTATTAAATGAAAAGTTCCAATTTTTTTACGATACATAAATGTTCATATTTCAATTTTTCAAAAGTCAAAATACTACAAAATTTATTCATATGAAGAAATAAAAATTAGTCACGATGTAAATCAAATATACTTTAAAAGAATAAAATAGATGATCTTTAGTTGCCAGAAGGCAACGTATAGAGTTTGTTATACATATACAGTAGAAGAACTATTAACTAAAAAAAAGAGAAGTATTAACATAGAGACTATTAAATTATAAATTCATAATAAATTTAAATTGCAAACTTACGTCCACAAAGACAGCATTTATATAGTCAGTGTAACTGTTACCCTGGAAGCTGGTGAGATACGGTCGAAAGTTGTCAGCTAAAGTGAAAAATATTACTAGATGAATAAAAATATTACACCCATTACATATGTATTATACATACACACAGATGTACTACGAAGATTTACATATTATATTTCTAATTTATCTTACATTTTCCCGAGTTCCAATTTATAATTACTTCATTTTTAGAAAGCGAACAGAAGAAGAGTATTTATAAAATTATTCGTTTAACAAGAATGTATAGATGCACTGTACATTTGTGTAACTTTTTGGACCATCCTTTATATTTCTAGATGATTTTTCTAAGAAATACTACAAAAGATGTTAGTATAAAAGAACAATATTACGAATAAAATATTTGTTTATTCGAGAAAATATTGCAAACTCCCTTTCTGTCCACTGCTGTACATTCATTTTTGTAAATCGTAGCTACAGAAGCATAAAACGCACAAAAATGTTCAAATGTTCTTGCATTTACACATATATACAATGACTGAGAAAAGTTTCTGGGTACAGTCAAATTCTAGTCCAATCTCAAATTATACCATCATCACGGTGCAGCGCGCAATATATTAACGCGACAAATTTCTGAATTTAAAAACTCATGGAACTTTGTCAGTCGTTGTACGCACATGAATGGCAGAATTTGTGTCACTTTGAAAAATGTCCCTCGCAATATAGCTTCTGAAAAAGATAGAAAAGTCGATAAGAGGGCAAAACTATGCGGTCTCTTCGCAGCTATCCGTGACGTGCGATTTTTACAGCACCGTAAAAAAAAAAAAAGGAAAGAGAAGTCTTCGTTTATCGAGAGAAAAGAAAAAAAAAACAAACACTCGTACGTGGTTCTATCGGTGGAAACTTACGCGGCACGACCAACACATCCCTGTTCTTCTCTCTGTTATCAGCTCTGTGCCCTCCCGCGCAATCTCCGATCGTGAAGCGCGGCGTTTGCTTACAAATTTGCTGATACTCCCGTTGATATTCATTTATCTTGGTTATCGGGTTCTTCACGCTCTTCTGCTTGAGACGCTGCGACAACTCCGAGACCGGAAACCACGAGGTGCCGCACACCACAAACTCCTCGAGCGTGTCGTACACGAATTTGTATTGTTCCTGTGAAATGATAATGAAAACGTTGGATGCTGTGAAATATGAATGAACGCTCAATGTGTTTGCATGTAGTATTTGCAATTTAATTTAGCCTCCAACGTCGAACGAATGAAATATAGATTGATCGCGGAGATTACTTCGTACAGCAAATAGAACGTGGCAAATCGTTGGCGTTTCACGGTATTTTGATATTTAAATTGAGATTAAAAAGAAAAAAAAAAAAAAAATGGAAGCGGAAAAATCGTAGTGTCTGTTAATAATAATAAAATAATGATAGACAGCGATTAATTAGTTATTCTCTTACTGTGCATTTGCGAAAGTGTTATTAATGTAAGAACAATTTAATGAACGAAAGAATGGAGACAAGAATGGGCGACACGGATGTCGCGATATCATTTCAATAAATAATGCAATCAACAGAAATCTCATCGTCAGAAACCGAGGCTCAATTTCCTGAAACCAATATCTTATCTCTGGTGTTTCGAACGGAAAAAGAAATAAGAAGCTCGAGATACTGAAGGCATTATGAATTTACCAAGTTCTCGATAAGTCCTCTTCTGCTCTGCCGCAATTTTTTCAAGTAGCCAAAGACGTCGAAAGCGTCTTCCTCCTCGGCCAGCTCCATGTTCGCGTCAATCGCCAGGTACACGCCTGATCTTCCACCACCATCGCTTCATTTTTCCGAAACAAAAGAAAACGACGATCAGTTGTCTTTTCGTTTAACAAATAATGAAATTGGACGTTGTCGTGGAGCGATCAAGTTGTAAGTTTTAACTAGACTAGGCGTGGATTCCTACGCGAATTATTTGAAAAAAAAGAAAAAAAAAAAAATGGAATTTTGATAGAAAATTGTTTTATGTGATAAATATCGTACTTTGGATATTTTAATTATTAATTTTTTAAGTATTAATTATTTATTTTTTGAATATAAGGAATGTAATATGAGTGTTTTGAGATTATAATGTTTAAATTAATATAATATATTTAAGAAATATAAGGAATGTAATGCGAATGTTTTGAGATTATAATAATTAGATTTTAATGTTTATAGTTATACAATTTTTAATATATGAAATTATAATACGAATATTATAACTATATAATTTCTAATATGTGAAATTATATAATTTCTAATGTATGAAATTATAATATGAATATTATAATATTCATATATTAGAAATTATATAGTTATAATATTCATATCATAAGTATATAATTTCTAATATATGAAATTATAATATGAATATTATAACTATATAATTTCTAATATATGAAATTATAATATGAATATTGTAACTATATAATTTCCAATATATGAAATTATAACATGAATACTATAATTATATAATTTCTAATATATAAAATTATAATATGAACATAATTGAATATAATATTTTTCACGTTATTATTCATTTAATATACCTCGTAACTCGACGCTTCGAAATTTTGCAAATAAGCAAATTTTATTATTCTATTATTTATTATCATTATATATCAATTTATTATTCTATTATTTATATATTTCTATTATTTTTCATTCTTAAGTTTTATTATTCTGCATAATTTACAAACGCATAAGAACTCGCAGTCTAGTTATAACGAACGATCGAAATTCAGCGGGGTGTGCTCACTTGCAATGTACCACCATTGGTCCGGATTCGTTCTTTATGGTGGAACCGACCACCGCTCTCACGCGTCGACGGAATTCTAAAACCGCGTTTCCGAATGGACACGTATGCGAGTGCCATTCTGTGTAGTGGAACTGCAGTAACGTTCTTTCTTCTGTGACTTCCTGAAACATCGAAATAAATAATTCTTCGTCAGACTTTTACTAATTCCCTTGCTCTACTGCGTATTATCTACAATGTACAACTTAATTTTACCCCGTAGCCAAATATTTTTGAAAGATTCTCCATTGCTCTCCGTTATTCGCCGAAACAAATCTTTCGGTGATTCTTCTTTCAATTTTCACGGACGTAAACATTTCTGGCAAATTTCTAATTTCTCTTCGCAATTGACATTTTTGTACGAGCAAGCGAGAATTGAGAGAGCAGGATGGCAAACACAATTTCTTTCGGAACGCTGGCATTTCGTATGGAGGTATTCAGGGTAAAAGTAGGTGAAATTAGAACAGAGGTACTAATTCCATCGGAGGCTCTTCCGACTAAAATTATGCGATGGTTTGTTCGGCCTGGATGCGCATGAGCACTTCAAAGGGATAATAGAATTGGAATGGACGTGATTTATTTGGTCTACGGTGATTAATACCAGTGGTTTAATACTTGTTATTCAAGTCAGTGTAGAACTCCTGAAAATATATATGGTGGAATTCAACCGGATACGATCCAGAAACGTATCGTCAGATCTTCACAGAAATCGCAAACTATTGAAATTCGATTAAGCGAGAATCGAGAAAGAGAATGAGGTTGTTTAGAGTTCAAAGGATATAAAAATACAGGGGCTGTCATAATTTCTCCCCCCTCCCCCCCCCTGAAATTATTATGGATTCGTATTTTAATATTAATAAAAGATTATTCGCGCAAGATGTCTCGTTCGAATTTCTCCTCCGCCGCGATGTCAAAGAAATTTTAAATTGGACGTTTTAATTTATGCCAATTATTGCAAATTAGAAAAGTTACTCGAAATTTCCCAACGCGAATTTAAAGACTTGACTATGACGAAATATGTTTTATGCATTAAGTTGGCTGACATGGATGTAACTTGTATAGCGTAGAGTCGTTTAAAACTCGAGTTACCACGGTTAAACTCCCGGCGACGTGTATGCGTTACTTCCCTCGAAATGTCTCGGATTTATGTCGTCGACAACAGCGAAACGTTTTAATCGTGCAGGTGAAAACTGCAAAAATTCCCGTAATGTTGCGTCGCGGATAATTCACACGAGGAAACGTACGACACTTGATGCGAAAAATAAACGTGAGAATATTACCGGGACGGTGCATGCGAAAATCCTCTGCGAATTTCTTTCGATCATGCGAGAATTTTACCTTGAAATGTTTAACGTTGGAAAAATATAAGTTGTCCTACTTAAAGAAAATGCAAACGACAACGAAATATATTAATAACATATTGTTAATATTTCAAATTAAATATAAATTAAATAATTATATTAATATTTAATAAAAATAAAGTTATATTAATATTAATATATTTAATTTATATAATATAATTATATAAATATTTCAGATATTAATAATATATTATTAATATTTCAAATTAAATATAAATTAAATATATTAATATTAATATAATTATATAAATTAAATATATTAATATTAATATAATTATATAAATTAAATATATTAATATTAATATAATTATATAAATTAAATATATTAATATTAATATAATTATATAAATTAAATATATTAATATTAATATAATTATATAAATTAAATATAATTATAGTAATATTCCAGATATTAATAATATATGATTATTTCAAATTGAAGCCCAAATACAAGAACGATTCAATTCTGCGAGAAAAATAAAATTAATTGATAATTCATTCGTTTATAATTATTGTCTGAATTTAACATAATTTCTAAAATATAGAATTTTAATGTTGAAATATAGAATTTTTTAATGTTGAATTTCCGTGTAGATTCCATTATATCAAATACAATTGTCCCCTAAAATTATTTTCGTACTACTTGTTCGCCCCAAATCACTTTTATACTACTTATTTTGCGCCGCTCTGCACACTTCATCAATAAAACATAATTTTCTCATAAAATTAGTTTAAATACAATTCTATCATCTTTTTAGAATTTAATCTAAACTTCTTTTTAGATTCAATCACGTTAAATATAATCTTTTTCTAAAATTATTTTCATAGTATATATTTCTTTATCTTATTTCATACAGTTTCTTAAAAAAAATTACTTTGAATCCTCAAGTGATATAATTGAGTCGTAGATAATTATAATAGTTCACTTATTATTTGTAACAGTAAACTACTATATAATACTTTATAAAGTAAACTACTTTGTTCAAAATTGTTTTTAATTCTTAATCAACCTCTTGCCTCTACTCAATATTATGACCCAGAGGGTTAACATTATTATGATACAGAGTAATTACAATAGATTAAATTATGTTTCGATTGATTTGGATATTTTCCAAATGATTGTATTTTAAATTTGAAGGAATTAAAGGGTATTTCAATACTAAATAATCTGACTCTGTTGCGAGTCACTTCAACGACACCAAATATAAATTACAACACTTATTTTGAATCACTCTATATCAAATTAAACGCACCACAAAAGAAATTATTTCCACCTCAACTTTATCCAATTTCTCTCTCTCTCTCACTCTCTATACGAAATTTTCCTCATTATACCAACTACGGCACGTTTCAAATTTCAGAATAGCAAGTTGGCGAAATCAAAGTAAACCACTCACAATCCCAATAACGCGTTCACACGACGCAGCAACCGTGCGCTGAATTATGTTCCCCAGGGAATTACCACGCACAATGACGCAACAATGCTGTTCGACAACAATCTTGCCCCGTTTAGGATGTCCCTTGCTCGTCGAGTATTACGAACAACGCGTCGCTATTCGCAGAATGAGATTGCAACCGTACCGCGTTAAATTCTCCGCTGCCATTAAATCTTGATGCCGATTATTCCTCGCCTTTGCCGAACGTCTATATAATAATCCAACGTCGCTTTAGCGAAAAAATTCTGCTGTTCTCTTCGAAGCGGAAGAATTAAACTCGAGCCCTCTTACAGAACTGACAACGAGCGAAATTTCAGTTGGCGAAGTAGTCGGTGAAGTAAAGACGGGTTACGTTATTATCGTTTCAGTTATTTCCGATAATAATAATTTACTGGCGATTGTCGACGTAACTTTGCAATTACACGATCCAGTCGCTTTCGAGAATCATAGTATTCTTTACACAGGGTATTTCGTAACTTGTGGGAGCTGATTGTACGCCTAAAAATAGTGAAAAAGAGTCAAATAAATATATGTCCTATCTGTCTTCATTTATAAAATATAATGAATTTTCTGTTTTAATTACTTTTACAAAAGATGCTCGAAATGACCACCTTGCATTTGAAGACAAGCCTGCACGC